ACGTGGAGGCCTTGGCCGGTCCCACGTGGAGGCCTTGGCCGGTCCCATGTGGGTTGGCCGGTCCCACGGAGCCCCAACGTGGACTCTCTTACATGGACCCTGCTTATGTGGTCCCCCCTACGTGGATCCGTCTACGTGGACTTTCTTACGTGGACCCTTCTTATGTGGACCCCCCCTACATGGTTGGTTTTCAAAACGGCTTTGCCCAAAATGATGCACTCATCGCAATTCCGTGGGGGGCCGGCTTCTAAGTCTCCTTTAAGCTCCAACCACACTCAAAGCACAGGGATGTTAAACATGAAGGCGTGTCAATTGCAAAAACTGTGAGAGGTGTCTAGCGGGGAGCCAAGGTCCCCACATAAGGCCCGGCAATCCTGCTGTTTTTTTATTGTTGTGAATGATGAAGGAACTGCACATTTAAATATGCGGAGCCGCCCGTCGCCCCCAAACATACGGACAGAATAGGAATTATACACTACCTCCGGGAGGGTCAACCCTGGGCCGCCCTCCACATATTTTAATGGCGTAACCGTAGCCTAGCATTGCTGCATTGGCGACCTTGTCCAAATAAGTCTAAACTGCATAGGTGCAGATTTAGAATAGTCTAGTGCAAATTCATGCACTAAAGCAACGATGGTGACTTTCTTGCAGACTTGGTGAAGCTCCTCAACCAGCATGCTTCAAGCTTCACGAATTAAAAAGCATGAGTTGCTTGAGTCGAACACAAGGTCTATGGAGTCTATGGAGGGAAAGAAAGGACCTACAAACACCCATTGCAACACCAACCTTGTCCATACTTCGGGCAGCATGCATGCAAATACTGCAATATGACGACGACCACCACCACCACCACGACAATACATGTCATGTGCAAGGCCTGATGAAAGAAGGCTCTGGGGGCATTTTGACTTTGTCTCCAAAAGGAGGGCCCACAATAATGAAAGCGATGGCTGCAACCGAGAAGCAAGGCATCAAACCCACAAATCTCTAGCATGGAAAGCCACCAGTACAGGCTAAAACATGGGCGCTCGACAAAGCAAATCTTGCAAGAGCACAACATTGCAGAAGACTAGAGAACCGGGAACGAAAGCCAAAGAATACTTTGCTCATCCACCACCATCCGTAAGAGAATGACCACCAATGCAAGCGATATTCTCTTATGCTTCAGCACTAGTGTTACCAAAAAGACTTGTTGGAAATGCTCGAACGCTAACGTGGACAAAACTCTTGCTTCGCTAAGCTGGCTCTAATCACTCAAATGATACTTGTGATGTGCGTGTCCTTAAGGCGGGGCCTAAATCAATACGAAATCAATTCTTTAAGGGTGGGGTTACCAAATGATTCTCTCACGCAAACCTGCGGGGGTGGGGAGCATTTTTGTAGTGACAAATCAGTTGGATCGTTTGCCGTTTGCAAGTATCAATTCCAACCCTCCCCTGTAAACGAGGACTTCAGCAGACCTCCTTCAGAGCTCGCTTTCGGGATTGATAGTCGAGCAGCCATACTATCATCTACTATCTGAACTTGCTCCGACCCCAATCGATTGGTAGCATGCCAGTCTTGTCTCTTCAGACTATCCTCGCCATGCCTTCAACCAAGATCTCTCTTGCAAATGGGACATTGCCGATGCTCAGCACCTAAGATCGGCATTCTGTTTGATGCTTCAGTGGCTTTGTTATATTCTACCATTCTGAGGATCACCAGCTTGACGTCTGCAAAAACACCCTGAACAATTTGCAGTGCTTTCCCTTGATAGCCAGGGGTACATGGCCATGTGCACAATCCTTCCTGGTATAGTGCCATGCTCAAAAAAAACGTGTATTTATATATATAATATATATATATATATATTTATGACATATTATGACCATGAATCATATTACATAATATTTTATATACATATATATATACTTGGGTCTAGCAACCATTGTCCATCCTAGGAGTGGCAAAAGGACCCCCCCTGCGTTACAAGAGTTCCAGCATGGTAAAATCCTGGACCTGGTTTGTTCAAACACGACGTTGCAAGTGTTTGATAGTTTTTGTATGGCAAGACTGCTGTCGTGACCATCAAAGTCATCCAATTCTGTAAAGGCGCACCACTGCAAGAGGCACTCCTGCACGCATCTAAAGCACCAGATCTCACTCACCATTTTCAGTCTTCAGTGAAAATCGATGCCCCTGAAAAGCACTCTATCAACATCTATCACCTGTAGAATATTTGTGGAGAGGCATCCAGGTGTTTGTCGTCCACTGTCCATATTCTATTAGGTCTAATGATCACTGTCTGCAACACATGTGAACTTGCGATCACTTGGCTTGGTGAAAGGACTCCAAAGCTTTAGAACATGCAAACACTATGTCTAGTTGCGTTACAAATCCAGTGTGCTGACAAAACGACCACAGCACCGTCATGAGATTCAACGGTTGACCTCGGCTTGGCAATGCGGCTGGATTTAGATGCTTAGATAGTACTGTAGCTAGTTTCAAGCATGTTCTCTTTTTGACAATGTCTACTGACTCCAACTCTATATCAAGGCCATCCTAATCAAGGCCATCCTAAGCTCTACACTGACACGCCGTGCTTGAGAAAAGTGTTTCTTTTTTGGAATAGCGATGGCCTCCCCCTAATAGCGATCCAACCTACTAGCGATGGCCTCCAACCGAAGAGCGATGGCCTCCAACCTCCTTTCACATCCTTTGGCACTATATTACTATATATTACTATATATGTTTTTCAAACAACTGAGCCCGGCCGGGTCCTGATGAAAATGATGGTTGCAGGGTGTTCGCAGCACAACCCCTGATGTGAGTACTTCCAAACACACCACGCACTCAACAGCCATGCCGTCCTGCGCCAGATTCTGAGCTACCACCAACTCCCTCTCTGCAAAGGAAGGCTCAACTTCACAGGAACCGCATCAGTCCAGCTTTGAAGAATGTTCAAAACCAATTGATCTCTTTATATAAGGATCTCGACTCTCAACCTCTTGCATGCGCTAAAGAGCAGAAGCTTCTTGAAAAGGGCTGCTTCACTTCTTGGGGTCAAATCTGAACCCTTCTTTCTGTCAAAGGGCTTCGAAGCGAGCTCAACCTGCTTCAGAGTCTTTCTCCACGAGAGTTTTCTCGGAAGCGGACCAGCACATGTCTCTACAATTGTCCATGTTTGTGCAAACCCATCCGTGACAAGCTGACAGCACCGAACAGCACTCATCCTTGATGATCGTGAGCACGAGGAAAGTCATGTAAAATCAACCAGTCGTTCGGATGGGCAGTTGAAAACTCGGCTGTATACTTGTGAATCCTGTTCTTTCAGGTTGCCATCGTCTGTGACACACCCGTCGTTCTCAGAATTGTTCACAGTGGCCTTCGACCGGCCTTTTCTCATGAGCACTCTGCAATACTTGCCCTCAACTTCCGGTGTCTCACTGGCGGAGCATCATGAACATATATGTCACCGTGAGATTCATTGGACAATTATCTGGAAGTGTGGACCGAAAACGCTGAGCACTCCAGTGTTCACCTGATCTTCCGTCAAGGTCCAGTAAAAGTAGGAAAACTAATCTGTGCCTTGGGCACTGATCGGCCCGGATGTTTTGAAAGAATACACCCGAATTCACCATCGGCTGAGCGAGTGCGGAGCAAAAGCAAAAATGTTGGATGTGGAGTGTTTCCTGCAACTAGATCACACTAGAGCCTTGTCCTGTAAGCCTGGAGATTCTTGACCCTTGCAAGTGCCACGGCCGATGGCAACACCACTAGGAAGTTTTGATCTGAAAATTGACTTCAGTGAAGGCGAGAGGTGCCTTTGGCGTAAGTGCTCGATGCCGTTTTCGAAGCATGCCAAAGGCAATCAGCGCCAGGCTCATAACCTTGATGGGGAATCTGAACAAACTCCTACGACTGAAGCTTAGGAGCTGCCTTCAAGTCCAATGGAATGTCCATCACATGTTGGTGTGTTGATGTGTTTGTATTTCGAGACACAACTCCAAGATATTACGGTATATTACGGTATCACGTGTTTTAAAGATACGAATCTTTAAACAGGTGAACAGGTATTTTAGACTACCTCCGGCAAGGTGTTTGCCAGACCGGCCTGACCCTTTAAACATACGGAATGAATATACGGTACGATTTAAATATACGGTCAGCTTACATATGTGCGGCGGCATTTATTTAATCCTGAACTCAAACGCACTATCTATTATGTGGAGGCCCTATCTATCCCTATCTCGTTTAGACTACTTAAGTAGAAGGTCATGTCATGCACAGTATCTCGCTCAGACTATTTTAGTAGCAAATCACACTATCTCGCTCGGACAACTTTAGCGTCATCAAACAAATTGTTTATGTGGGGGGGGCCTGTCTCAGACAAGCAAATATATAAGGGCCTCGAGCTCTCCCTTTTCGTAAAAAAATTATAATATAAATATACGGGGGGGAACAAGTATGTTATACTACCTCCGTGGCCGATTGCTCTGGCCCGGCCAGACCCTTTAAATTTACGGTGGGAACAGGTATTTTATACTACCTCTGGAGCCGATTGCTCTGGCCAGGCCACCATATATTTAAAAGCGTTCCCGTAGGATGATCACATGTATGAGTGCACGTGCTTTGGGATGTGCATATGTCAGGTCCCTGCTAGCATAATGTGGCATTCACATCATCCCTGAACCAACTCCACCTCCTGGAAGTGTCGAAATCGTGACCAATTGAGTGAGCGAATTTTTTGTCGAGGCCTGTGAGACAACACTGCATTTGTTCGCAGCCATATACATATATATATATATATGTGTTGATACATCTCTGGAAAAAGTAAATGTTGATCATCAGGTGACCCGCACAAAAAGATGGGTCGCAAGCAAGAGCAGCAGCTACAGTATTTGAGCCAATTGGGAACCAGGCAGTCCAAGAGCTTTAAGGCTGTTGAAACCACATGAAACAATTTGACAAGCTCGTTTCCAAAACAGCTGTTCCAGGAGTTACTCCACGAGCAAGTTTGACTGGAGGATGAATAGCTGAATACTTGCTACAGGGATCAAGACACTGCTAGGAAAAGCAAAGCCCATGGAGAACGTCCAGCTGCGGTCATCATGGAAACCGTATCCAGAGGCGGTACGGAGTCCACCCAGACATCGATGGTGTGCAGCATGGCCTCCTGCGTTGTGAAAGCAAAAACCTCAAATCCAAACGCCGAAAATCAGGCACAGGCCACCCTGCCCTGCCTTTACCGTAGTGGTGCCTTCCGTGCAGTTTGGGTGGACTAGGCAGGTCCACAAGGCGGTGACCATGGGCCGCGTGAGCTCGCCAGTGTCCCGGCGGAAGGCCTCCTTGTGTCTCACCTCGTGTGCAAATGACAGACAGAAAATGCGCAACCCATCGCAACCCTGCCAAGCATCAAGAAGTGTCAGATCCACTCTGGCTGGTCTATTGCTAGAGATCGGGATGCTTTTGTCATGTGGTATGTAGCAAGCTAGTTACGACAGTTACGTGTGTCCTTCTTCATACAAATTCCCTGCTGCAGTCCATGTGCCCCCTCAATCAAACAAGATTTGGTTGCACTTGCAGCGGTTGAACTGCAAACGCAGGCTCATTGCTCGGGCACGCAATGAAGCTCCAGGCCACTTTTGGACCAAGTCGCTGCATTGCCCCACATCGCAATATCCATACCTTGCTGCAGCTCAAATTGGCTGCTTGGTTGGAACCAAAGAAAGCGATGGAAAACCATGCAAGTTATGCAATTCCCGCAATTTGAACGTTTGTATCGCAAGTTGACAGGCCCTTGTCTCAGAATGTGACTGTGTCTTCTCGATGCATTTCATACGCAGCAAATCTGCATGAACAAAGAGAAAACACTTGAAACACACTCGAATCATCATGATGCATGTTTTGGTGGATGTCGATCCTTTACAGGGTCCATAGGTCCATAGGTATTGGTATTAAGTGGGTAGGTCGTGAGTAGTGCATTTATAGTGCTCAAGTGGTGGGACCAACCTCAATCAAAAAATTGCCTCTATAAATTGATGTTAATAGTCCAGAAACAAGGTGTCAGCTCTATAGAATGGAGGGCGGTGAGTCTGTAAAAAGCGGCTGTGAACATTGAAGAGATCGCTTATAAAAAGCTGGTCCTGAAGTACCAGTACCGTCGAACTGGTGTGTTTCAGAGGAGTAGAACAACGGGGCTCTATAGACTTGAGGTATGCACACTGGATCCAAACAAAAAAGGACTCCCTGTTCGGGAAGGCAGCCACTCACATGATGGTAGGACCACACATTTCAATAGCTGAAAACGTTTTCCTTGACTGGTCTGTGCTGGAGGTTTCTGCGCAGTCTGTGTGCGTGTCCCTGACATGCAAAATCATGCAAACAACATCAAACAACTCTCTATAGAATCAACATGCTTGAGATACCAAGTCCACCTCGCCATGACTACAACACCTCTATAGAATCGAACTTGAAAAAAAACATCTATTTTCTATAAACTCGAGAAACTCCCAGGTTTCTACTTACAAGGTTCCAGATTAACCAACAAGTTGGACACAAAAATTGCTTTTCGGGGTACCCTGATCCTCCTATAAAATTGCAGACCCACTCGTATTCAGCTGTCAAGTCACAAGATTTCCGGCGAACCTCTGCATTGTCAAAAGCACTCGTGCCTCAACAAGAGATGCGTAGAAGTCGTTTGGCTGCCCCAGAACTTGGAGGGCAAAAGCTCGAACCAAAGTCTACACTGATCATTCCTAAGTGTTCCGATGACACTGCTCAGGCACTCATCATCGACAGCGAAGATGCCGCATCGCGGACACTTTGAACGCCTGAGGCAGTGGAAAGAACACTGAAGTTCTGTAGTCAAACTGTTTGACACTTTGAACGCCTGAGGCAGTGGAAAGAACACTGAAGTTCTGTAGTCAAACTGTTTCATCTTTGTAGTAAGCCTGCACGATAGTCAAATTCAGGCTTGCCTGCTGCGCATATATTGTAGACATGGAGAACATGAGTGGACGAGTTTGAAAGATTTGCAAAGGAGAAAGTGGTTGTGCTGGTGTGCCAAGAACTAATTAAACATGCGCCAAAACTGGTAGACCAAGCAAGTGGAACAAGCGGAACTTGCTTCCCACCAATGCACTATGTATAGGAGCAAGGACGCTACTAGTAACAAAGGGCATCGCTACTAGGAGCAAGGACGCTACTAGTAACAAAGCGCATCGCTACTAGGAGCAAGGACGCTACTAGCAACAAAGGGCATCGCTACTAGGAGCAAGGACGCTACTAGTAACAAAGGGCATGGCTACTAAAGGGCATTCCTGCTAGGAGCAAGGACGCTACTAGTAGCAAAGGGCATCGCTACTAGGAGCAAGGACGCTACTAGTAACAAAGGGCATCGCTACTAGGAGCAAGGACGCTACTAGTAACAAAGGGCATCGCTACTAGGAGCAAGGACACTACTAGGGTGTGTCTGTTCGTGACTGTGGAATTGGATCACACGACCCCGGGACCCGCGCCGTACAGATCATGAAGCACTTGATGCAGGTGACCACCACCATAAACTGAACCAAGAACTCGCCAAAGCACACTGTTGTCCTCAGACCATGAAATGCGTATCGAAATCTATTTCAGAAGGAGTCTCCCAATCACAATGCTGCTACTTCCTGGTTCTTGCTCATGACGTTGAGTCATATCTCTGGATAAGAATGCTTAAAATTGTTTAAATCTCTTCATCTCTCATATTCTTCAGCTCGGGTGCCGCATGGGTAATGTGCCGTACACTGAGGCCTTCGTCATATCCTCGGCAAGATGCTGGGACCGTCATCTCCGCATACTGATCATATTCCAAGAATCCATATCCTTTGCACTAATCCCTATGCAAAGACACATTCAGGCCGACCACATCTGATTCTGTTCAAAAGTTCAGCATCAGTGAAAGAATACTGCTCATGATCAACTTAAGGAAGGTACGACTCGACGTAGTGACCCATCCCCATGGCACACCGCTTACCCCACGAATGTAAGAACTTACCCCATTTGGAAAACACAAGGGCACACCGCTTCGAAGCAAGCACTTTTTCTCCTAGATTGTTTCTAAACCTACACGATTCCACTGCGATTCAATCTTCGACATGTTGATGTTTTCTAAGGTTTTCTGTGGGTTGCCGTGATCCAATCCCCATGGCACACCGATTCTGACCCACATGTTGGTACCAGCTTTCAGTTTCTACATAGACTGCAAACAGCATGGAACGTCAAACATATCTATTCATTCTTGCATGTTTTCCTCTCCCAATCCCCATGGCACACCGCTTCGGAACAAGCACTTGTTCTCCTACCCTAGATCACCTACACCATTCCATTGCGATTCAATCTTCTACATGTTGATGGGTTCTAAGGTTTCCTATGGGCTGCCATGGTCCAACCCCCATGGCACACCGATTCTGGCCTACATGTTGGCACCACCTTTAAGTTCCTACCTCGAGGGTAACCACCCAGACGCGAAAGTCCTTGCAAAGCAGTTGCGGCAAGCAAATCACACTGTGACACCACACCACGACTAAGTCACGGCAGAGTCCTTGCAGCACTTAATTTCCGCATGGGACACCGCGTCAACCAACAGAGGCTAGAAACCAAATCATCTGTGATGTGGGATTGGTGAAAACGGTGTGCACACCCGCTTCCGATCTCTGCCAGAAGTTTGCTAAGACCACGACAAAACCCATGGTTAGCTTGTGTTTTGCCTTCTTTGGTGTCTGTGCGCGCGCGCGTTCCTTCCGCATGGCTCACCTGCGAAAAATGTGAACATGAACGCTTGAAAACATGAACCCTGCAAATCGCTCCTTGCTTACACATATGTGTTGGCCCTGGTGCCTGGCGGGTTGGGCGAGATAGATGGCGATATGTGGGCGAGGTATTGGGCGAGATGAACACGTTTGCCCAGAAGACCCATGCCCACTAACACCCAAACACAAAAGTCCTTGCGACGCAACGCAGCTGTGGCAACCAGTCATATACTGGGACACCACGCCACGACTAAGTCACGGCAACGTCCTTGCGATACTTGTTTCCGCATGGCGCGCCGCGTTTCACCAAACAGGCCTGCCACCAAGCTTGAAATCATGTTTCCAATATCCAGTCTGCAATGGAAGAAACGTGCTATAATGATAGGGCGTGCAAGACAATGACAGGCAGCAAATGAGTAAGTAGGAGCAGCGGCAGCGACAAGCAGCAGCAAGCAGCAAGCAGCGCACCAGCAACAGCGAAGCAGCAAGCAGCAGCACCGGCAGCAATCAGCCAGCAGCAGCAGCAGCAGCAGCGGCAGCAGCCAACCAGCAGCAAACCAACAGCAGCCAACCGCCAGCAGCAGCAGTAGCCAACCAGCAGCAGCAAGGCAGCAGCAGCAGAAAACCAGCAGCAGACCTGCAGCAGCAGCGAACCAGTAGCAGTAGCAGCCAACCAGCAGCAAACCAACAGCAGCAAGCCCGACATATATTGATTACCATAGATTACCAAACAACAAACGCCTCCACCCCTAGACACGCAACTGTGTGGGGACACGCTTCGCAACGACTTCTCAAAACCACTAATCAGACTGCTCCTCGCTCATCCGCTTTGATGGAGATGGGGCCTTCTCGAAAAGGCTTCAACTATGGGTTGACAAAAGAAACCGTTAGAAACAAGTTCAATTTCATAGCTATTCGGTAGCTCACCCCAATGGTATACTGGTTTCACAGACATTGCAGTGTGAACGCGAAAAAGCCAGTGTGCCACGCAGATCTGGCATCAATAAGATGGAGAAGTATGTTGCTCATCTCTTCTAGTTTGCACTGCTTTGATTGCTCCCCGCAATGGCACACCGGCTTCCATACGAGATCTTGATCACGATAGGGGTAAACACAGGCATCCAGTATGTAGAAACAAGTGCACGAGGCAAATGAGACCTGCCCCCTTTCTGTCCCAACATTGGTTGGGAAGCGCAACTTGAGGCTGGTTGTATTCCAAGCACTAGTCACCAAAAAGAACAAATACACAGTATGAAATGACCAAACAATGATCGTCTACACTCCTAGACACAAAACTGCTTGGGGACACCGTTTCGCAACGCTTGTGTAGTGAAGCCAAGAACATGAAATCGCAACGGCGCACTTGGGAGTACAATAAACTTGAGACAGAATCAACAGTGTGCCCTTGCGGTTTGGTCAAATTCTCAACCTGTGATCAACAACAACATACATACAAAAACTTAGCCCAATCAAGCTTTCCCCCAAGGGCACACCTCATCTGGCACAAGTTCATGCCATTCGAGACAAGTCAACCAGAGCACCCAGTAGGTGCAAAAGTATGATTCTCTTTGTTCGCTCGACTTTGCAAGATACTTCTGACGTCTTATGACTAGTCTCAAGGGAACGACCTCCTTTGGGAGGGAATCGCCTCCTTTCCTCAAATATCCACGGGAGGCGATCTAGAGAAAGAAAACTGTGTGTATGTATATGTATTAATTTCCGCTTGTGGATGGATGGGGCATCGAATCTCCAGCATCACTACATATGTGACTGACTATGGGCGGGTGTTGTAAAGTTGTAAAGTGCAAAGCTCAATCATGGATCATTTCGTTCATGCTCGTGTTAGATTCTTAAAAATATATATATATGTTAATCTATATACTTTTCTGCTCTCTGCTGGGTAGCCACTTTAGTAAAGCAAACAATCGCCAACCTGTCCAAAAGTTCAGATGATTTCAAATGTCATTCTAGGTGTTTACATTGTTTTACATTTTTAGCACAACACCTTGTTTGGACGACTCTCATTGATTCAATGTTACCTCTGAGCCTCTGCTTCAATGTTACCTCTGAGCCACTGCATCAACCAAGTGACCCTATTCTTGGGGGGCCTGTCTAGTTCCCACAAGGTAATGATGTTTGAGTCTATTCCATCACCCTCCCTTGCCTCTACAAAAAAACATGCACGCAGCTGCTTCCAAAACTAGGCCAACTAAGGCCATAGGATACCGCAGGCCAGGATTGTCCAAGGAGCCGGGTCCATCCACCTCAAGAAGGCGGTCAAAGTACTTGCCAGATTTCAAGAGCATCAGCAGGATGTCTCGCCTGATGTCGGTGGAACCTTTCAACTGACATCATATGTTCCGCACTAACCTTTGCAACTCTTCTTATTCTTCAACTCAGAAACCCCTTAGGCCCCAAGCCCTCACGAAAGCACCATTGGTCAAATGGCACATTCGATCTCTCAACCCCTAGAAAGCTGCTAGGCTAGGCTAATCAGCCCTCAAACATCAACATACTTTGATCGTCTCCTGGCCAAATACTTTGATCATCTTTGATCGAGCTTCCTCCAGGTACTTTCGGAGATTGTCGCAGGCACATCATCGTGTATATGCTGCGCAATAAAGGCCAACTGCTCTAGAAAGCTGACCTGTCAAGGCACCGCTTGGAGCTGGATGAATTAGCTTGTAATTGAGTCCTGCCCGGTATAGTTCACCTTTTGTGGTGCATCACGTCCACATATGTTTTGAAGTGTGTATACGAAAGTGACCTGCAGCGAAACAGGAATCTTTAATGTAGCCATGCTAAAGATGCATCACGCAGTCACGGACTACTTATATCTTTATATATCCACAATTATCCACAATAATGTCTAGTAGCCTTGCTTGTGCAGTCAGCGTATGATGAGGCTGAATTGTACAGAAGGAAGGAAGAACAAATAGTATATATTACATATCAATACATTTCATGGACATCCACAGGGCCAGTCGACACATTCCCCTGGCTTCGCCTGTCGCATGCACTGATAATCTTCCGCGAATGTGGTCGGAAGCCCCACCTGTTGCCTCGTCAGGTCAGGAGAGGGTCTCCCGAGAGGGTCTTCCTGTGCACCAATTGAGGACTTTTTTGCGCACCTTTGTGCGCTTGCATGTAGGATCAAATGTGAAGGTTCGCCCTCCAAATCGGTCCAAAACAAAATGCTGGACATGTGGCATGCGGGAATAACTGCTTTTCTTTGTTTTTGATGTAGACTGAGTGACATCTCTTGGGCATGTTTGAACATCTAGACTGGATGAAGCGTTTCTTTGTGCTTGTCAACGCATCCCTGATCTTTCGCTTACTTTTTGCTGGTCTTCCAGCATCGGCTGGTACCACACGCTGCTGACTGAAAACCTGTCTGTTGAGTTTCTTGATGTTGTAAGCACAAATCTGGTTCAACAAATCATTACACAAATGAAATGGCAATCATTTCTGTTTGTAGCACTAACTATATAACATGTGTTATCTGTTTGTTCACGGTGAGACAAAGAAACATTCATAAGAACAGTGCCTGCCGACAATCTCCAGGGTAGCAGCATATGTAAGATAGCCTGCGTGCTTGAAACTAATCTCCCAGCACAGTCCGCAGGATAAGCATAAGCCCTCATGAACTTGGCTCAAAAAGACTCCAGGGATGCATTACTTAAGCGCGCAAGAAAAAAACATGTGCAAACACGCGATTGGACTTCAACCAATATAGCTGGGAAAAGAAAAGTGTCTAAGCCAATGTGATCAGAGTACAGCTGTGAATCTTAAACTCGGAACCTGGCCTTCCCGCTGGACGCTGGACACGGCATGAAAATCTTGGTATAACTTGTCCCAATCTCTCAGGGAAGCTCCTGGTCAGGAGGCCACCATTTCAATCCCACCCAAAGTGTCTTGCCTGAACAAAAGAACTCAACCCGAAGAACTGTAGAAAGTACACCTGTACAAATGACCCTGTTTGTTCTTCATTGTCATTACTTGCCACCTGCGTCTACCCTACCCCGGCTCCTGAGCCATAACTTCCATTGGCTAAATTGCCAACCTGGCCATCAGCTGAGGACACAGCCTTTGAAGTGGATTACAAGGCAGAGTTTCAAGGGAATCACAAAACGAACAAAAATGATTAAAGAAGAAGTGTTCGCCCTGTAGAATGCATGCCACACTCAAGTTGAATGACTACTCATTGTTCCCAATTGCTTGCCACTGTGGAACTTGGAAGAACATCTAGGCATGATGATAGTATAGTAGCAAACTCCAGGTGGCGAGCCGCAAAAATGGTCGACCTGTAAGAATGCCGATAGATGTTCTTTTCCCTATGCTTTCGCATGAGGTCCGGCTGGTTTGTAGCACTCAGTCGCTGTTCCCAAAAACCGTCGGGATTTCCATCCTAGTAGCGTCCTTGCTCGTAGTTGTAAGGCCAGGAGCCCCTAGTATCGTTCTTGTTCCTAGTAGCGATGCCAGGAGCCCCTAGTAGCGTCCTTGCTCCTAGTATTAAGGATTTTAGACAAAGAGCAAAAGACTTCAGAGCGATGGTCAAATTCTCTAGGTCCGCGGTGTGGACGTCACTTCCATCGCGAATGATCCGCTTCACTTTCTCGTAGATCGCTTGTCGCGAGGTTGGACGGCATTTTCGGCGGAAGACCCAAACCTGGCTGGACCAGAATTTGAAACAATGTGAATGGCAATGTGACTTCAGTCTTGGACTCAATATCATGGCATTACTGTTTCTTGCTTGATACCCTCAACGCTACGACTGGGCAAAGGTGTCCCATCCCATATTATACCTTGGTTTACGTCAATATTTAGGCACCGCTTCATGCTTCAGGGTCTATTATGATCTATTAGGTGTTCTGTTTGCTAGTGACAAAAGCATTGTAGCATGCAACTACTATCCATGGAGAGGGAGCATTTCTTGCTGGTCGACGCACGCGTATCTTGCGAAGAACTTGTTTATGAATGATTTGATTCCAGGATCCCTTCAGTAAAGGTCCAGGTTCATAACCAAACAAGCGACAAAGGTTTGTTGCTCAACAAGGTACATCAACCTAGAAGATATTCAAATTCATTCGAAATGTATGGAACTCACAAACCTTAAACATACGGCCGTTTGAGTCTCTTCGACACGGCTTGAGCTTGTTCCTCAACTTGCTCAAAGCTCCCAAGTACTTCAAAAGTGATTATTCATGGAAGTCGGCCCACTCTGGGACTTGGGCATACTTGAAAACAGCCTTCCATCATGGACGCTTTTAATACAAAGGATCAAAAGCACGGATGCGAAGGTCCTAGGTCCTCAGTGCCCAAAGACAAAAATATAATGATGGTTGAGGACAGGTCATGGATGGTCATATTCTGTTCACCTCTCTTGCTCTACCGTAGTAACAAGAAGCTATTAGAAACAAATGCCTCGCTAGTAGTAACCGGTGCCTTACTAGTAGTAACAAGAAGCTATTAGAATACCGTAATCCGGACAGATTTCGGGACCCTTCGACAAGCCACTGCCGCACCAGACTTCCCTTCCACGAACTCAAAAAGGTTCTTGGTGCTCTGTGGCCAATTGAACCTCTGGAAGATCTCATCTGGAATCCAGGTCCACGTGCCGTACAAGCTGAGATCGAAGACGACGCCTCTGGCCAACTCATTGTCCGTCTGTGATGCCAAAATGATAACTCTTCAAGGGTAAGACACTGGAAAACAGCCAAATGACTGCATATCATATCCCAAAGTCGGTCTAGCGTGTCCAGTGCTATTTCCGACTCAGCTCCCACAAAAGCTAGACGCGATCTTGGAAAGAAGGAGCATAAGGGCTTGTCTTGTCCCTGTTTCAAATTGTTAACAAAACGTCTCATGCAAGTCAGTGGTTTTTTTTTCAGGGCATGATCTCTCTACTGGCCGCTTTGCTTCCAAAGGCCAGCTCTTTCTGAAATGGACAACACAAACCACTGGACTCGACAATCACAATGGGATCAACCCACCTCCCATGTATCCCCGTCCCCGCAAAGCTAGAGCCCACCGCACATACGTGCGAAAACGTACCAAACCCAACAAAAAAGCCCTAACTATGCCAGGGCAGTCAGCCTTGTTCACAGCATGTTCAAACCTGCGAAGCACAGCATGTTCAAACCCGTTGCCGGCGCCTAGATCAGCAGGATGTCCCATGTACTTTTCCAGCTTCTGAGTTGCCAGCATGGTCATGTTCTTGATCAAGCTCCCAGGGTCTACTGAGTGATAAACCTTGCATACGGCATACGCTTCAATGGTCAGGCGTTCAGACTCTCTGTTTTGCATTGTTTTTTGGGGGCTCCAAGCCCAAAAAAGAAAACAAAGAGAAGAGAAAATTGGCAATGGCAGCCGGCAGGGTGCTGTGCAGTCCATGTCAGAGGTCAGCAGCTTCGATCCAGGGCATGTGATGTCATACGCTTTGCACAGTTGGCTGAGACACAGAGGATCATGGGGTGTTTGCAGGTGTCGGGCACAGCAAAAGGTGTGCCTCATGAATTTTTCTCCTTACATGGATGTACTATGACAACACAAAACAAAAAGACACCTAAATCATCCTAAATCCGGCATGACTAGTCTCTTTGGAGAGAATCTGGGTCCTGAATTATTCTCCACAACCATTCCTTGAGACATATTCTCTCACTGCCTTGGAGCTTATGTCTTCAGATGTGCAAAAGCTGGACTAGGTCCGGACCAAAGTTCGGAAGGCACCGTAGTGTTTCATGGGTCTCTGGCAGACTTGCGTTGACTGAGTGCAGGTGCTGTAGGCTCGCTTCATCAAATCCCAGTCCCAGACGGTCCACTCCTGACAGGTGATGGTCAATCACAGAATAACATTAATTGATGGAAGTCCATTCTGTGAACTTCTGAAGACAAGTTGCTTTGCTAGTTTCTCTCCGCCAAGACTTGAGGAAATCTTCCACTGTGGTGTCCAAAGCAGCGCAATGGTCAGTATCCACCGTGCAATGAGCGGAGTAATACTGGGAGACTTCCTTGGCAGCCAAGGCAGCTGCAGAAAGCGGGGGGTCATGCCGAGATACACAACAACTTCACTTAGTCCAGGCCTGTGTATCGTGGTTAGCTTTCCCTAACAGCCTGTCATTATCTGCCCCCTTGTGGATCACATCGAAATCGACCACTTGCAGTTCTGAGTGCAGTCTAAAGGGGACGACGGGGTCATGCTCAGTTCCCTTTCTTTGGACCGTTTACTTGGGCCTCTCTTGGGCAAAGTAGAAACGAAATGAGCAAACACAACAAAGACTTCAGATCGGTGTCATTTGGCGAGGCGGCATTATGACCGTCATCTCGAGTCGTCAGCTGCTTCAGCCATCGATTGGCACCTCAGTCACAGAATTCATGGGTCATGATGGGTCCTTACTAGGGCGACAATGTCATGCTGTCAGCAATACATACTTTGACCAGGCATGTAGAAGAAACAAAAAAAAGGCCACAAAAGCTGCATTGGTAATTGATCACACAGTGTCAACACACCCGATGGGAGGTATGGTATGAGGCTCCTGGGTCACATGCCGTTTTCCTCCGGACTCCAGTCAGTAGGACTTCTACTTTGTCTGCAAGGCACTCGCTGTCCAGGTGTCTCCATGCTTGTGTTGGAGCCATGGGAAGTAAAATCCAAGACCATGCCTAAGCTCAGATCGCCCTCTCGAATGTGGGAAAGACATTCAGGCAATCCTTCCTGGGGGTGGGTAAGCACCGAGAGCCACAATATGTCATGGTGCACGGCCAGTGACTGGGCGGCTGTTGGAGCGGAACGTACATTGGCAGGAGAGAAGCATACTGTACCACATACCACATCGTGGTTTGACCATGTATGTTTGAAACTATATATATATACACAATAGTTATATATTTTATATCATCCACTGTATATTGATAGCACGATGTCAGTCTCAAAAAAAGTTCTATATTATGGATACAGTACTTACATGTGCCTACAGCTTATCGCCAACCCTGAGCTAGGCAGCTAGGCTACTCCCTATGCTCATACTAATTGCCAAGCTGCTCCCCATTGTCCGCCACCGCCCCCAAGCGAGGGGCCACTTCCGTGCACCAACAATGCACTGGAGAGACTGGGTCATGACCTCAAATAGGTCAGTCACGTCATAAATGGTAGCTTTGCAAGTGAAGCAAGGGGAGTTGTAGCTACGTTAAGGGAGTTGAGCTTTCGTCTCCAACACAAAAAAATCGAACAAACAGATTTAGTCTGAAGAGGCCTCGCGTCACGGGCGACTGTTGAAACAACTGCCCCTGCACCGGGAGAAATGCTTGTAGAGGCCTTTGGAAAATCACCCTGCAAGGTCTATCAGAGTCTATCACACTCAATGGATGTTGAGCACCTGCACATTGAGACAGTATATAGGATTCGGATTGATCAAACGTTTGACAACTAACGCAGAAACAGCGAGGCATGACCGGTCACATGTGCACAGTTTCAACTGGGCGCTCATCTTATCCCACATAAATTGAGACAACTACTAGGAGGACGCTACTAGGAGCAAAGGGCATCGCTACAAGGAGCAAGGACACTACTAGGGTTACTAGGGGCTCCTGGCCTTACTACTAGGAACAAGAACGCTACTAGGAGCTTTGTTCGACACCTCCAAGCTTGCTGGAAAGCGACAGCACGTCCCATTGATGCGCCGACGCAGCAAATTCCCACGATCATCTATTGCCAAAGCCCAGCCTGCAAATTGGGTATGAGCATGCGCTGACCGCGGCAACTATTGCTCCTAGTAGCGTCCTTGCTCCTAGTAGCGATGCCCTTTGCTCCTAGTAGCGTTGTATAGAAAATTGAGATGTACCCCAAACTGAGATCACAAGTAATCACTAGGATGCTTAGAACACTTCTGTTCCCATATCCGCCACATCGTGCCTAAGTCTGCTTTCAAATCTTTCAGCACTGAGCCATTTGTTTTCTGCCAAAAAGGAAGGCCGTGATAATCCTGAGCCAAAGCGTACGTGTGTATGCAGAGAGGCAGCATAAACAATGGTGTCTATGGTTGTTTGATGTTCGTGCCGCAACTCAAATACTGTCAGCTTTTCTTTTGGCGAGATTGGTTAAGTAGGACCATTCGGTTCCATTGTCAAAAACTATCCCTGCTAAAGAAAAACTGTGCTGACAAATCGAATAATAATCGCAACCAAATGAATTTTCAAGCAACCTAAACCAACCCCAAATTCTTAAAGCATTAGTTAACACCAAGAATAACATCACGTCACCGCATCAATCAAAAATTACTTTACTTCGAGTGATCCCCACCATGACATTTCAATCATTTGTCTTGATGCCATAGTGAGGAGCATGTTGCCATGGTCGTGAGTATTGTAGTTCTCGATTTTGCTTGTGGGTCTTCGGGCAGTGTGCTGTGGCTGTGTGTTGTGGTTGTGGTTGTGTGCTGTGTTGTGGTTGTGGTTGTGTTTGACATTGTGTGTTTGTGGCTGTGTGTTTGTGATTGTGGTTGTGGTACTGGTAGTGGTTGTGGTTCACGATAATACATAATATATTTCTGCACCAAAACATCGCAAATTCAACGGCACAAATTTAGTAGAATCATTTTCCCCGATAACCTAATTTTTTATTCCAATGAAATGTAATTAAATCAACAAATCTTTAAATGTTGTTCGGCCTTTTCAATAATGATCAAATAAAATATATCGAAGTCAACCCACCTCGCATCTAGCCACAAATGATCGAATTCAGAGTAATGAAACATGCCATGGTATGACTTGAGTCTGCGGCCAAATGTGCCTGGGCCACCTCCGTCAAAAACGTCAAACAACATGTTAAAAGAAATAGAAAAGAGTTGATCAAGTCACTAAGTCTTTTTAAGTGCAGGGAAGCATCTTTTTCAGCCCATAAATTCTTGGAGGTTTGGTAATCGCCAGGTTCACGCCGCCAAAGACGATCATCTTTGTCAATGCACCAAAGCCAGGATCCTGCCTGATTGGGAGCATGCTGATCTCAACAACCCATCATACGCATCAAAGCAAATCTCGTAATGCACGGTGACACCATCTTATGTGGCCAACTACATAGAACAATGAAAAGAAGTCTAGTCTAGCTGGTCATGCTGCTACTAGTACTCACAACTCAGATGGAGGCGGAAAACATATCAATTCCATGCATCAGCATAATGTTTAAGTAAAGAACACAAATGGTATCCAATTGCACAAAGAACAAATAAGTACGTCTTAGGATGCAAACAACATTTCGGATCGATCATCATTGAAATACTCACTGTTCATCGGAGTCCCAAAAACGACAATTCAAAAGGCAGCAGGTGCAGGAGGTGCCACAGGTGACACAAAAGGGAGACTTTCAGGCAGCTTTTAGTTGACATGCTTTAGGAAAGAGCAGGCACAATCGACCATGGTAGTGAGTCACATTTGCAACTGACAACACTTTCCCTTGTCAGCAAATACGAAACGGACTTTGGAGGTGTCCAAACATTTGAGAAAACAAGAGATTCACCGTACATATATAGTTCATTACTTGAGGTTGGGCTTATGACACGTAATGCAACCGCCCCAGAAAATGAGAATGAACCTTAGCGGCTTAGCGAATTGCATCGTTACGTACCTCTACTTTCTGAGGTTTAATGCTTAGCTGCAAGCAACGCAGGTTCGCCAGCGTAGATGCAAACTTACACTCAAACCCAGCAGCAAAGAACTCGGAGATACGAGTTAGAACAAACAAGGAAAAAACGGCTTGTCGCTGGTCGTGGCTTTGTGGTCGGCCTCATCGTTGTCGGCAGCAATGAGTTTAAGCTCAACTCCAGTTGGCCCATCTAGTCCTTCGTTGCACGGTCCGGTTACAGCTTCGTCCTCACTTTATGACCCGAAGATCCACCAGACTTGAAGCCCGAAGGCTTTAAACAAGTTGACAAGTTGAAAATGTGTTTGTAAAAAAAAAAAAAAAAAGTGTAAACAGTGTAAACGCAAACGGACAAGATAAACAGACCCAAGCATCGGAGCCATCGGCTGTGCTTACCCACATCTCCTGCAGGGCGCCACAAAATGCTTCCATGCCCATCTAAACCCCACATGGCATCATCGTCTGCGTCCATCTGCACCTGGGTCCAAAGAAAATCAAGCAGAATGATGCGCGTCAGCACAACATAATATACACTTTGCTTGAATTCAGCATTGCATCACTATGGTGTGTGTGTATATATATGTATATATGTGGGAGCTTTTCTGTTTTAATTACACCTCCAGAAATACTCTATTGCCCCAGAGGTGATTTTGAACAGGTGGACTGTGATCGCTTGGCTATTCTTACGGATTGGTCCGAGGGTCCACATTGCCTCCTCTCATCATGTGCCACCAGACGTGGTTGTTGCTGGAAGACCAGCCCCACTTGGCAAAGAGGAAATGCTCCACTCGACGACCGTTCTCCGTGTCGTACTCCTTCTTACAGACCACCCAAATCGCTCTTGACGAGGCGTCTAGGTCAACTGGCTTACCCCAAACACCGCCGCAGGGGTCCCCACGGAGCTGCACAAAGACAGTACCTTCAGCCTTCGCGTGGAAGAAAACTTTCCCGTTTTGCGTCAAGCCAAACAGCATCCCCGCTTCCTCTTGCGTAACTTGCATGAGGTCCAAATAATTCTTGATGTCTTCGTTCCAGGGCCATACAGAGGCTCGCGTACATAGACTAAAAACCAAAGAAAGGCAAGTCAGGCCAAGTCCATGAAGTCTACAGAGCCGACCTTTTCGTTCTTTTCGCTCTTTTCTTCGATGCGACGAAGCCAAAGCCGCCTCTTCATCCATGGCACCAGCTCCGAGGCAACATGGACGGGCGTCGCCGCGTCACCACGTCGCGGGCGGTGCTGATCCGATCCGATCTGCCCAGTACTCCAATATGTTCAATTGATTCATTTGCTCCGATTTGCTCCTAGGGTAATCTTTGCGAAGTCCTGGAGTAATCTTTTCGAATTGGGCGCCCTAAATGGTTTTGTGAAGTTAAGAGCCATGTTTGGGCTTGTGTTTTGTAATTTGGGTTTTAGTATACTGTTCTAAGCCGAGTCGGGTTTGATGTGCCTTATTTTTGTGATTGAAACAATGCCGAATTCTAAAACTTTGGATCTTGAAGTAGGATTTGCCCGTGGCACAACTAGGCAACAGCTGGCAAATGGCGGCCATCCACTGGCGCTCTCGAAGATCTGGCTTCCAAAAGGTTTGGTTGTATCACCCATCTCTGGACTCTTCACCTTGTAACGAGGCCTGAAGATAAGCTTCGTGGAGCCGTCCAGCCACTACGCATGTCAACAATGTCTCTAACCCTCAGTATGGTGGAAATGGAAAGTCCAAAATGGCGAGCATCCGACGATCCAATCCAAATCCTAGTGTACTCCCCTAACAATTGCTACACTAGTACACTAGTGATGGAAAAGCCGAAAGGGAAGGTTCCATATTAGAGCGACACAAACAGGCTCAATAGAACGCACGAGGACATCAAGACGCGCACCCTAGGCCCATCATAGGTAGGCGGGATCTAAAAATTGTCAATCTAATTCCACCGGGCCAATGTCTAACCTGACTACATATCATATGTCTAGAACCGCTCTCTAAAGATTACGGGAGAAACAAACGAGAGCCTGGTTGGTGATTTCAAACGAGTGGGCTCAATCATCTCAAGTAGTAGCTTCTTGTTCCTAGTAGTAAGGCCAGGAGCTACTAGTAGCGTCCTTGCTCCTAGTTAAGGTTAAAAAGTAATTACAAATATTTAAAAAAAAAAAAAAACTACCAGGGAGCTTCATTAATCTCTCGGATGTCCTGCTCCAACAGCTCTGCCGCGTCGTTCGGCACCTTGGGCATCTTCCGGACCGCCTGTTCAGCAGTACTGCAGTACTCACAAACAGGCCTTGGCCGGCCTTGGCCTTATCAACCTACTAGCGATGGCCTCCAACCTAAGAGCGATGGCCTTATCAACTCAACTCTCATCATCTGAACTGCAGTTTGCAAAGGAACTTGTTGGTCGAAGGAATAAACACTATGCAAATGTTGCTGTTCTGCCCGCCAGCCTCCGGACATCCATTCTGCTGTGGAGTAGCCCTCGGCTTGTTGATGATGCGTTGAAGACATCCCAAAGACGAAAGGATCCACAACCCTAATGCAGCTGAAGTTAGTGTGCGTTTATAACATCCATTGTTTCATTAAAGGATGTTGAGCATGTTTGTCTTTCCAATAAAGAAAGAAGCGTCGGCACGCTGCAGCCGAGAATCCGAAGACCCGCACAAAGCACCTGCCAGAACCAATCTAGTCACCTAGTCCACCTGGTTCCAAAGGGTTCCAAACGGTTCCACCTGGGCAGCACATGATGTCTATCTTGCCAGGTTGAAAAACTTCGAGTCTCCCTTCAATAGTCGCATAACAGCATCGAGCATGGCACGGTGCCCAGTGCTTTGAGTGTTTGAATTGAAGGCAGAGCACTAAGCGCAGTTTGTAAAAAGAGAGCAACACAAAGCTGTTAGTTCGCAGTTCAAACGGGCAAGTACAGCGGTAAGACTTTTTGATGCAATACCAGATTCCCTGATGGTCCCTGAGGGTCCCGGTCTGCCGAGACACCACCAAAGCTGCCATCACGACAAAGGCGCAAATCCCTGCAGCTTCAAAGTAGAGCAAATGTGCCACCTGAGACTGGGATAGAGTAAGGGTCTTGCAAAGGTCTTTCAGCAAAGATTCTTGCCTGCACCCTTCAACATAGACACTGGGTCATAATTGGTCCGTCTGATTGGATACCTTGCATTGCTCTGGCTGATTAAGTCTTAGGTTACACCATGCTTTAGCTCATGAAGTCCCCACATAGCATAGTGTTTCAGTCCAGGGACGGCATAGTATAGCTGTGGATTGGTCTCAGAACATGTTCTGGACGTATACAGCCACAGCAGGCCTGCGAGGGATGAAAGAGGTTCAAGCTCCGGGCGTCTAAGCTCCATGTCGCTTTCTCATGCTTTCTCGCTTAGACGGTCAGTGGTGAACGCTATCGCCCTGCCTATCGCCACTATCATGGTGCTGAAAGCCGATGCCAAGGTACTCACCAGCAGGCGCGCATTGAAATTCGCATCCTGGAACAATCAGTGGCCGAGTGAAGAACTTCAAGGGCAACGGTATCTTTGAGAAGGCTCAGCTGTGATGATAATCAGGACAACAACTGGCAACCATATTCGATGTGCAAAATACTCTCCGGATTTCGATTTCTTGAAAACTGCCGTGGGCATTTGCTTGAGCGTGCCTGTATTCTCAAACCACTGACAATCCAGAAGACTGCCACCTGCAGAATCACCTTGGTTCTTGCTGGCTGGAAGCCGTAGAATCATAGTTTCTCAAGAACGTGAAAGCCAACCACCCCGTATCCACGATCCATTCAGGAAGTTGCTTGGCAGTGGAAGCTTGCGAGCGACTTCGGATGTTCAAATCTCACTCAAGCACGTGGTCTATGTGTTTTCAGTAACCTCTTTCACGAAGAAGGTGTTAGTTTCAGGTCTCCCTCACTCGGGAACCCGGACATATTTGCCCAAAGGCACGTCACAGCGGCCGTTGCCATACTCAAAGGTTGCCCCTGACACGAGCAGCACCCAGCACTTGCATCATTCTGCTGTCAACCGTCGTAAAAAAGCCAGGGCCATGGGGCATGAGCCATGTGCCAAGATAAATTTGATACTAGTACTACGTAATTACGGACGTGCAATAGTGGTGACATGTAAAACAAGTGCTCTCTGCGGGCAAACAGTCTGCAGCTCGGTACCCTGCCTATGGCAATCGTCCAGAAGTAAAGCGCAAAGAGCAAAATGACGCAAGCGGCTCCTACGAAGAGATAGATCAGTCGCAATAAGCAGCGCCGCTGCGCCTGGCAAAGTGAACCAATCACACCAAAGCTTCGATGTTGGGTGGCAGCTGTATACTTGTGGCCTGAGGGACAAACATGTCAGAGACAGCCTTCCTCTTCAGAGACTGCATTGCTTAGAAAGAATTGGCAGCATAACACTGGGTCGACCTCTGGTTGTTGGCCAATATCGCGTCGGTCATGTGCCGCAAGCAAGTGGATGAATCTTAGCGTGCAAACCGTGTGGCAGCCGGTGTGCCAGGCTGCTTCTGTAAAATGTTGAATATCGAAGGCCGAAAAAACGCTCCAGTGACAGACGTTGAGAAACAGGTCAAGACAACGGGCTTCAGTGCACTATTTCTCAACACAACTTCTCCATGGAAGGCTTTGAAGTTTTAGAACTATAGTCACTATAGTCGTCAGCTACTGTCCTCATCCGACCCTGTGGCTGTGCAGCACATTCACTAGGCCCCGCACAATGACATCATGTTGTTGCCCACCAACTTGGCATCGGGCAAGTTGATAAGGGAGAGTGTGCTGAATTTGTCTAGTTTGCAGTCAGGCCCTACATCTATATTGGCCACTGGTTACTGAGAGACTCGGAATCTGGTAGATCAAAGGAAGCTTGCCAAGGGCCTAGCCTAGGGCCTAGCCCGCTTGTGCAAAAAAGGGTTTAAATGGAAACCCAAAGTCACGCAACTTGGAACGTGTCGAGTTCCAACCTGGCCCAGCCGGGGCTCGGCTCGTGGTAAGAGGGCCTTGCGCATACGCAGTAAACAAAACCCGCCAGCTGCAAGGGTATTTACTATGAACACTCGCCTTTAACTTTGTTGCAGATTGATGGTCAACCAGGCTCTGCATGGTTCGGAATTCCAGAGCCACCCTGTGATCAATGTGAGCGCTACAAACAAACAAGAAGGCTGTTGGTCATGGAAAATATGGCAGCACATTCGACTTAAACACTCGCCGAATCTGGTCCCAGGTCCCAGAAAGGGTTGTGAGAAACTGCACAAATCTGCACAGTACACTGGGCCTCTGATGCACTGCGCTGCCATAGGCTCATAACCTTGACACCCTGGGAAGGTAAAGCTCTTTGACCTTCGATATACATATTGTGCGTACGAGTGTCTATGTGTCGGCCACAAATTTGTCTGCCTCCACTGCCCTCCAACTTTGTGAGTTGTGTACTCTACTCATGTCGAAGCTGATTGTCGTGACCATGATGCTAGTTTGAAGTGTTTTCTCCCAGGTCACCTGTATGTTTGCAGCTCCAAACATTTATCACTGCAGAGTCTTCATACCTGTGAACATGCTCGAGGCTGGCAATTTGATTGTTTGGGAGGGGTTTGCTGAGTTTGCCTGCCCCTCCAAGTCTGGGAGTAAGACTTGTGGCTTTGGAAGCAGTAGCATGTCAGAATGTCTATCTACATAGCTGTTTGGACCCGAAACAGCAATCCAAATTCCGCAAGAGAATCGTCACGTCTAGTAAAGTAGTTCGAATGTCTGGGTCTTGTAGAGTTTCACCACCCACTTCCTGTATAGCAAGTTGTACACTGGTAGCCTGGCTCAGAAGTACAAACCAAAGTTGCCTGCATCGGTATGGGTTGCAAATTCAGGTACACTTTTTGCAATATTTGCTTCTAGCACCATAGTCAGAGACCACTTTGAGACTCTGGCGGCCTTGTGTCTTGTCTGCTAAAGTCGGCACCATTGACAAATACCCAAAGCCTTGCCACTTTAAAAAGAAGTTATGTTGTTGTATGAATGTAAATCTATCTATATATATATATACATACACATACATCCTGAGCAATGGTGCCGGCTGGGCAGATTTGACACATCCTCCTGCTCTTCAGGAGATGCCATTATGCATCTGAGTAGAACTGCAGATCTTGAAAACCTCTGTCCAATCATCTGAGCATGGAACTGATTGGCAAGTGATGCTCTCGGAACCCCAAGTTCAATTGCAAATCAAGCTCTTATTTCAAAGTCCAGTTTACTCAGGCAACCTAGAACTGGCATATTTCCCGTTGCGGTTTTGGCGTCTGCCAGCCACACCAAAGAACTGCCAGTAAGCTATGCAAATAATGTCGAGGTGGGTAATGCAGTGCGCCACGTGGACACCATCAAACTTATGCCATTTCAACTGGCCCCGCAACAAGTCAAATACGATTGCTCCAGGATGGAAATTAGCACAGGCGACACCTGATGAGTTTACAAGTTTACCAGGTTACCATGCGTATATATTGCGGGCAATTCAATTGACATGGTCTTCAATTGGAAAGGAATTCTGAAAGAGGAATTATTGCACTAGGTATCCACGATTGTCAATATATCTCCAAAGCTGCAACGAGAAGCTTGAGCCTGTGAAACGTGGTCCGGCATCATCACCTGGAAAACAGTCATCAAGCTGGAAGCACTTCAGAGAGGAGACATTGGAAAAAGCGAAGCACGGCAAGAAAAACAAGTGCTGAAACAGCAGCAGTTTCATTGTTGCCTCTGCTCCGCCAAGACCGAGCCACGTGCTGACCTGTGCACAACGATGCCACTCCTCTTTTTTGATGTTCAGGGGGAAAGCATGATGGTGCGTATGTACATTATGAGTATGTGTATATGGATGCTTGTGCCTCAAAGAAAGGTCTTCACTTGCTGCTTGCTATCCACCCACCAATCAGTGAGGGATGATCTCACTTGATGGGGGGTCCCTGAAGAAGAGAAGGAAGGATCCATCAATAATCAGTCTGCCAAAGAACCACAAGCAAGTGATACATCTCTATATATATACACTGGATAAAGTCTGAGTCTCAGTGTTCATTGTGAGGGTGCAGCAAAGGACATGCCGATACAAACGTCCAACAGTGACGAAATGCGGTGTATTATCCCCTTGCTTCTAGGCTGGAGGCCATCGCTCTTAGGTTGGACGCCATCGCTATTGGGTTTCTATTTCATTGACTTGTCTTTCTGCATCTCAAATTTGCTTCCCATCTTCTCCCACCTGCAGGCTCTGCCCTCAGCCTCAGGCTCGGACGCAGAAGCCCCCGGCAAGGCCGGCGCAACCGGGGACACCGCTGTGTCCTCTTTAGCATGGTCAAACCATTGGAAGCCGCCGGTGCGAACCTTGAGGAGAGGTTCCTGCCACAATCGCGATGCTATGCTATGCTGTCACAGGCACTAATGAATTCAATTGGCAAGGGACCTCCAAGTTTTTATGTTATGGTCTTTGGAACTCGCATCTGAACTCTTCTCAGATTCTGCGAGAATGTACGACCAGCCTGATTCTAAAGTGAGATCACTGGCGAAAATCATTCTACCAACGCGTCTCTGGCGCCCAAGAGAAAGAAAGGGCATCAGCATCAAGTCAAGAACCTTTGTGTAGTGCACTCTGGCCTGTTCTCTGAGTGGCTCTGGATCCGGTGTCTCCAGGCGATTTTGAGCGCTGGCCCGGCCTGAACCTAAAGGCATTGTCACAGGGCTCAAGCTGCTCAAGTGTAGTGTCACTGAGTTTTGACAAACTTGAACTGGAGGCCACTGGAGGCTTCAAGCCAGATGGAAGCAAAAAAACTGAAACGGACATTACTGGGCCTCGGATTCTCAAGCACAGAACCGATCAAGTACATGTTCCAAATAGAAATGTTGCCACTGCCACAACAAAGCAAGCAACTCTGAGCAACGATCATACTAGCCACGGCCGCCAAGCGACTTTGTCCCAATTCAGTCTTTGGATGGCTTGCTGGGCGCGCAGAGAGTTCCTGCCAAACCAAGTATGCAGCTTGGCAGTCTCATGAGGCGCTCCAGCCAAGTCCAGAAGCTCGTGGTGAATTCAAACAGTCCTTATGGGTTGTGTGAAACCTGGTGCCCCAAACAGCATTGGAACTGTGGACTCGCGAAACATCCACGAATATCTTCGCACAATCTGAAAGTTACATGCTCAATCAACCAACCTGTCTTCACAGTCTCAGAAGGGAGGAAAGTGTCACCCGCATCAATCTTGCATGAAGCTTCTGCTTTTGCATGGCCTATCCACGCAGTCACGCAGGGTCAGCTCCTCCGGTCGTCTGTGAACCCGTGCGGTCATCGGCAAATCCTGATCCAGTGCGTCGCATGTGTGATCCAGGTGTATCTAGCAGCGAGCATTTCCAGGCACTATTCCATCGTGTGCTTGAAAGTGTTGATCCACCTTCACTACGGTCCCAAGCCTACTGATCTGCTCTTGTCATCTGTCTCACAAATTAGCCTCCAAGAGAGCGCTGACCAGGCAAACAGTCGGATGCAAATCTCGGGTCATCCTGTCCAAATCTCGGAGCGGTGAGGTCATGAGGGGGATTTCCTAAAACGAAGGCTCCTCCTCTGCTTCAAACCGAGGCAGCTGAGACTATCTTGATGGCATCGTGAGGGCAAGTCTTTGTGGTTTTAGAAATAGGTATCCAAAATGCCATTAGCTTGGAGGGCTATAATTCAGTGGTACTTTCCTTTATAACTGTGAACAAAACATCGCACAATTCCAAGCTGTTCGCAGAAATCGCTGACACTGCAAGCTGTTCAGAGCGGCCTCCCGGTGCCCTGGCTGGGTCGCCGGAAGGAGCCAGATCTGCTCGTCCTTGCACCAGCACCTTGCAATTGATGACGGACCAAGCACTTCGCATTTGAAAGAGAAAACTACTCTGACCATGGAACTTAATGAAATTTATGTGTGATGGCTTAAGGTCTTGACCTGATTCGAAGGAGTCTCTCCTGCGAGACAAGAGTGTGCAGGGCTTGCTGGGAGGCAATAACCATTATTCCGCAGCAGGTCTCAGAAGAATTGAATTGTGTCTGTCAATGTCCCTGTCACTCTTTAGAGATTTCTGCGAGCACAGCACTGTATCCGAAGGTATTCTGAGGCCTTCTGTGCCAAATAATCCACACCTGTCCTTCCAACAGTACTGGCTCTTGCGCTTCGGAGTTTCTTCGACGATGCCTTTCAGTCTTCACCAAGTCGGGCGCTACTGTCTGGACAAATAAACACACACCACCTGACAAAGGAGATATCACTCATTACGGCCTAGTCACTAGGGCATTGCTGTCTTGCAGGTTCTTGTCTGGGAATAGTAGCAAGGAAAGCAAACTTGAGCATCTCAGAATGGGATCCTCTCACTAGCCAGACCAGAACACAACGGCCTCAGAGCAATCTTTAGCCAAAATTCACCAAAAATATCCAAGCTATACAAGGCTTGTTTGCTCTACACAATGAGATTTCTTGACTAGTTGTCCGAGATTTTGTGGAGTAAAAAACTCCCTGGAGGCTCCATGCCGGCCTTTTCCTCGCTCTCCACTGAATTGCTGAGCGATCGACTCGCCTCTCTGATGACTCCTTGGCCACAAGTGCAACAAACCGAATGCAATGTTGTTTCGTGTATATTATCTGACTACCCCCACTGAGCTTTGTCAGGAGCCAAGGAACCAATTCTGTGAAGTGCACCGGGAGCACAAGTGCACTCACGGTACGGTACAATGGATAGTGATGGATGGTGTGAGTGTAAACAGATGTTTCTCGTCTCCTTTCAGAGCCCAGGTGCTGAAGGAAGAGAAGGAGTCCAGTGGAGCTGTATCCACACTGAGCTCTGGCGCTTGCTTCCTAGGCTCGTTCTCCAGGAGTGCAGGCAAAACTTGTGGGTACCCATCACGTGGTTCATGGTTGAAGCATTTTTGAGCTATGTGTCACTTACCGGAATGATGGTTGTTGCGCTCGAATCCTTGAGTGCCCACCAGGCTATCAGGTGTCGCAACTTATTCCCCTGTACTTTTATCGTACTGCCCTTCACCTCTGCAACTGTTTTCAGGTGACTTCATGGCCTGTCTTGTGATTTCTGCACATCCGTCACATCCGTCCAACACCAACAGTTTCTGCTTGTTGTCTGGGCAAAACCCTGAACCACAACGAATCGTTTTGGGAAACTGTGCAGTTCTGTCAAAGAGTCTGACTACGTGCCTTCCAAGCGACACTCCATCATCCACACCGTCCGCACCCTCGAAGAGCCGGTCGAAGTGACGTGGCACTTTTGCCATCAGACCTAGTTCGATGGGCACGTGACTGGACAAATAGCCCCAGCCAGGTTGGGACATGGTACAGTTCTGTGATCTACTGAGAGTACTCAATCTTGAGCACTTGAGGAGCTTGAGCTTGTTTAATCAATGGGCCCCATACTTGAGCTAGAACACCTGGTCTCCTCATTTGAATCATCTGTCACCTTGTTTGAACTTATTTCCATCAAACTGTTTTTCCATCAAACTTGCCAACCCCACAAAATCTCATGAACCATGACTGCCCCACCCAGCCGCGCCTTTGGGCAAAAAGTGCTGCGTCCATCGAGGCACTCGTTCTAGGCGGCCCTGGACCGCTTGGCCTCCAGCTGCGATGCTGAGGTCCTGCCATGGTCAAACGGTGACAACTTGTTACCGCCTTACTTGATTAAGTAGGTGCCTACATAGAGTATTGGACTAACTTGTTCGCTCCTAGCTACTTAAGCTACTACATTGACGGATAGCTCACGCTCACACTGATCTAATGATTTGGTTCCTAGATTTTTGGGCAAACTTGCTCTCTCTTAGTCCAGTGGTCACAGCCAGATACATCTTGAATCATCTCGATACGTGTTTTGTAGGATTGATTTTTGGAGTGGGTACAATCTCACCAGCGATGCCGCAACTCTGAAGGTTAGTGGTCATGTGATTTTGCCTGGTCATTATATATTTCTTACCGTGCTGGGATGATCTCTTCATCCATGTTTCATTGACACCCGTTTGCAAAGTTCAAACATGTCTAGCTACCATTGCTACTAGGGAGGCCATCGCTACTAAGGTGGAGGCCATCGCTATTAGGTTCCGTATTAAAGCATAGTCCAACCAAGCAAGCCGCCAGCTTCTGAAACTAAAGGTACGACCAGACTGGCACAGGTCCTGCATTTCGGGAGTCTCCTGCCGAAAGGCGCCCTCTGTTACCTGCCAAGATGAAACTTTCCAGTAAATCTTTATGCTGCCAGCTGAGAATAGTCTACACAAGCGCAAATGCAGCCAAAGGCCTTGCCAGTGACTGGCTTCTTTTTCTTTGATGAGGTAACCCAGGGTTCAGCCACATAGGTCTTTCTCATCTTCCACCAATGCTCCTCCTGATGGCTTGCAATGGTATGTCACGCTTCATCACACCAGTCACACCTAAAGTAAGCAGAGTGCAGTGATGGCAGTCTTGTGTAGGGCAACTTAATCCAATTCAGCTTCAGTGGCCATGTTTGTTTGAGCATCCTCTGGTCTGTTTGAGGAGTGCAAACTTCATATTGGTGAGAGCTACGCAATCAACTCCTGCTCGGAAAACAGTGGCATCTGCTTGTGGGCATGAGGAAAGTGTCGCATGTTGTACCTCAGTACCGTCGATGTTTTGTGAGCTTTGCGCTTTAGCAAAGGCTATGGCGACCGCCTGTGTCCTCATTGCGATCGTCTTGGACATGGTATGTTGCGTTTAGAAATGTGCGTCTCCGGGCAATGGGTCACTAAACAGACTTTGGAACCTAATACCCGAATGCACTTGGGCTGCCTTTGAAGAATTCCTTCTTGTTGTAGCATCGCGCTGGTGAAAATGAATTGCATTCAAGCGTGCATTGATTCCTTTTTCACCTTCTGGAGAGAGCCCAAGGGATGTATATATGTTTGCAAGAGTCATGTGACAGCAGCATCCCTTCATAGGCCACCCTTGCTTCACTTCACTCATGAGAGCAAAGTTGCACAATATGTGCGCAGGACAGTAAATAGATTTTGGACTTCTTCAACCAGGGCCATCAGTGACAGCATCAACAACATCGGCAATCACATCAGGACCATCACCATCCCTAACTTGCCCACAAGTGCTTCACTTAGGGCGTATTCTTAATTTATTCTTACCACACTCTGCCAAGACACTCCATGTATTCCCGCTTCCGGGCATCGAAAAGCTTGTTCTGAGTCATGGCGTGTGGATCTGGACGCCGCGCCTGTAAACTGTAGGGCAAAGAATTGGCTCGTCCATGCCGTGCAGTGGTGGCCTAAAAGCTCATGATAACCTTATCTTATCTTTGTAACCCACACAAAGAATGGAAACAATAATGTTTGCAGCTCCAAAGTGGTCTTCGGGATGTAAGCCATCCGACCTCGTGCTCCTCATACTCCGCACGGGTGTGACGCACCTGTGGCGCAAAAGTGAGAAGAACAGAAGCCTTCTGAAGCAGTGGTGTGCCTCCAACCTACTAGCGACGGCCTTCTGCCTAACAAATGAACTCCACAAATCAAGCTGCGATGGACAATGCACTCACCCAGGTGTCCAGCGCCTCAGGTGGAACGAAATCGGTCTTCGCCTCAGCCTCTGCGAGATCATCCAACATCCGCTGCTTCCTCTGCGCTTGCAACTCGCGTTGCGTGGACGCCTGCGAAGTCGGGCAGTCTTGTCAACTTCGCGGTCGCTCATACCTTGAGACATGGCACAATGCAGACCCGAATGTCCTGAAGTCAATTCACTCTTGATTAAGTGAAGGAAGGCAACTACACCCGGCCTGAGGAGCTTCAACGAAGCTCAAGCCAGGCACCTGTTCATGTCGAGGCATGAGGGCGCTGGTCGCTTTTGAGACCTCTCTCCTTTCTTCACATGAAAGGTATGTTAGTCACCTAATTAGAGAAATAAAAACCAAGGAACTGAAAAGTGATGAAAGAGGGAAGGTAAGGCTCCTTTATCCTCCTTTTTCATATCTTTTTTCTTCCCGTTATTGAGTTTATTGAGTCTATTCACCTCACCCCCATCCAAAGGTCCTCAGTATCCTCACCTGGAGCTGCTTCTCGGCGTTGCTTTCCGCGTCCAGGCCTCCGTACTGCCGCGCCTGGCGTCAGATAAAGGAGAAGCGATGGCCTCCAAACTCATAAAAATGTATTTATTTATTAAAAATCTACCACTCATACCACACAGTTCCTCCCGCACCTCACGACGTCGAGCTTCCGCTTTCTGATGCCGGCTAGTGAAGGGAGGGTCGTCCAACATGTTCTCCTCACGCACAGGTACAGTCCTACGATGTGATTTGCATGGCTTTCCTACACCAGGTCTTGACGTTGAGACCAAATACAAGCCCTCATCAGGAACAGCTGCATCAACATGCATCAAATGTTGAATTAGCAAGCTGTCTGGTTTTCTCACCATACCAGTTTTCTCAAGCCAAAATGTTTCAGTGGGTGAACAATCTCCCCAGACTGAAACATGTGTGTGTGTGTGTGTGTGCGTGTTTAACCCCACAACACAAAAAATCAGAGTGGGAGTCTCATAGGTTTAATCATTGATGAGAGTGTACTCAATGTGTGACAGTTGTGCAGTTTGTGATGATCTTGCACTGTTGATTCAATTTTTTCGACTATCGTTCACAAAACAACTCAAGAAATGTATAGACATGTTATCAACTGTTATCACGAAGGCACTAACCAGTATAGTATAGTCATTATGATTCTGCCCCACAGCTGGTTTCCTGACGCAGCGTGGGCTCAGGGATGTGCCAGGGATGCTGTGCCTCGTGGGCCTGGCGGACTGCAACAGAAGCAGGCAGCACAGCGGATGGAGGAAAAGGGACACGAAGTGCGACACGTGCCAATTCCCTAACAGCACACAAAAACACACACGCACACACTGGGAAGGTCATTTGTGAGAACTTTGGAAAAATGCAAAAAAAACAGGTCCACTGCCTAGAGTTCAGAGTTGCATAGACGACAGCGTCAAGTAGCTAGAATGCACGACATGCTGGGTTCTCGGCTTAGCCCAGTAGCCACTCGAGTGAAAACTGAGACGTTTCTGCAGGTGCGTTCAGATGATCAGTCCGAATATCCCACTTTGTGAGTCACAGAGTGCCCGGCTCCCCTGCTTGCGTGTGCAAAGCAAAGTCAGCACAAGACTCAGATGATGAACAAGCTCCCCTGCTTGCGCCGAAAAAAACGTCAAAGGCCAAAGAGGGATCATAACTTAGATCCCCTGCTTTTGTCAAACTCACCTTGTGTAATTGCGGTTTATACACTGACTTATCGACTTATCGAATTGCGTACTGACTCGAACGCCGCTCGCCACACGGCAACCTAGGAAGCCAAATCCTGAAAACACAAGAGGGGGCCTGAGTACCTGTAGTTAAAGGCCAGAAGTCAAACCCCACGATGCGACGAACCGACAGGATGACGACGTCCGCTCATGACTGCCGAGCTCATTAGACCTTTACGAAATCTTAAGAATTGTTGCAGGTACGTCCAGCTGGCCAAGCTGGATATCCCATTTCACTGGTAGCTTCGTTGGACACAGTCCCAGTGAAATGCTGTGTCCCCCTGCTTAACATTCCAACAGGAACCTTGTGACTCCAAAGGTTACACACACACACATTGACATACACACTGGCATCGCCTCTGTTCAAAGGACTCCCCGTTACAGTGTGCTAGACCTTGCATTCGCATTGCCTGCTGGGACACGTCTTCCTGAGGCTACATCACTGGTTGACTTCCGCTTGGTAGAAAATGAAAGGGTCTGATGATGTCCACAATGACAAGTCCTTGCCGAACATACTAGCGATGGCCTCCAACCTTCTAGTGATGGCCTCCAAATGACGATGGCCTCCAACCCGCAAGTCCTTGCCGAACATACCCTGCATTAAGGGTCTGAAAGCAATAATATAGACCAGTCCATTCATCGCTTCTCGACGACAAACATGGCCGTCAAAGCGGCAAGCAAAACACACACGCACTGCAGAAGAGCAGTTGGAATATGAATATTGTACCAGTAATATGTGGGAATCAGGAACCCTGGCCCCTACAGCGCAACACTAATGTGTGATACACTAGTGCTACACTAGCGCTACACCAGCACTTGCTAAAGTGTTAAATTTACCTTTCAATACCTTACAGTGTTAAGGTGTTAAGTAGGGGCCTACTTGATTACAGTAAGGAGGCAGGGTCACGGGCTAAAGAAAAAACACACTGGTGCTATGCGAGTGCTACAGTGCATCAATCGGCCATCTGCACCTCCTTCAGTGCCGTGGCTGCGTTCGCCACCTCGGCCCTCCGCTGCATCTTCATTTCAGAGGCCTCGGAAGCAAATCTACATCCGTTGGAATCAAACTGATCAACACATATCAACCTTTTAGAAACAACAACAAAACGATTCAAAACAGCTTTAAACTACAATGAAAACTGCTGGAATCTCCGCAACCCATCAATCCAACATATCAATCCATGCGCGCAAATCCCCTTACAGTCAGTTGGTCAACGACTTGAGGTCTTGCTGAGGCTTCTCTGTCCACTTGCCGCTGTCTGGAGGGTCTACTCACACTGTAGCAAAGTGGTCCTCCCTGTTGAACATTGCTAGATTTAATCCACAACAACTTAAACATTGCGTCGCTGAAACTCTGATTATACAAACATTTTAATGAACTAATGTCGGCATTCATGGCAAAACTGAGCTGAACCTCACCAATGGCATGCGGGGCAGTGCTCAAATAACATAGGCTTCACTTTATTCTCAAAGCACCTGCCAAGAATAGTATGTGGGTGTATGCGGTACCATTGTGTAAGCGCAAAACTTGACCTGGTTAAGGAGGTTCACAGTGATTCATCCATGCGCTCACCTCCCATAGAAAAAGCATGTATGCATCCTGTTACCGATCTGTTCGACTTTGACCTCTCGTGGGATGCCAACAAATCACAAGGCTTGACACAGTAGGTGGCATTCCAACAGTGTTCACTTGGTCAGCCAGTTAGTCGGAAGTGCACCCACTAAGGACCGCTGCGGGTCTTGCAAAAGCTTCATTTTGTCGTTTGTTTGGCCTGGTTAAAGGAACTCTTAAGCTTTTGGTTTATGAAGGTGATTTTGGGTCACGAGTTTCTTCGCCAACCCGCTCTTCATGAGTTTGGCCTGAACTGCCACACATTGGGTCTTTTTGCATGCAGTACCCTTTTCCATGGTTCGGCACAAAATGCTCCGGCTGTTTCTTAACCGAGACAAAGACTTTGGACAGATGGTTCAGTTGTCAAACAAAGCTTTTGGTCTCACTACTAGAGCCTTCACTGTCCTTGATGCAAATGGTGCGGAGAGGTCAAGCATTATGTCCTCAGTTCCTTTGTGACCAAGTTGTGGGCTTTGATCGTGTTTGCTGCTTCTGCAACAGCACCGATTTTTGTGCATATGAGATGACTGCCAATAATGGTCCTGACAGAACTTGGCACATGTTTTCGTGTTAGATTTATTGTGGTTGAAGAAACGCTTGCATGTTTGGTTGAATCCTATATCATTGTCAAATGGGTACCTGCACACACATTGACAATATGCCTGACATGTCCTGAACATTTAATCACCAAGGACCACACTGTCGCATCTCACCAAATATTGTTTTTGCAGCTTAGCAAGTTGTCGAGTGAGTGGGTCCCCGAGCAGGACCCTCCTCCCCCTCTTCCTCAGCAAGAGGGTGGGAGGCCCCTGCCAATCCAACCCTGACTTTTGATGTTGCTGTAGGACATGCTAGGACATGGCTTCCTCTCTGGAAAAAAAAATCAGTTCAAATGGCTTCCCAAATTCCACAACACACTCCCGAAAAATTGGGCTTTGCGGAATCTGCTTGGACAATTCTTGAAATGTCTTGCACAATATAAATGGTAAGCTCGCAGTTCCTTCTCACTTCAAGGGATTCCATTTGGAGATCAGTTGACCTCCAAACTCCGCTCCATGTTGAATTGTATAAAACACCTGCAGAACCTGCCGAAAAAGAACGTGGTTTGAATCCAACAGTCGTATTTAAAACTGTCCGGGCCGGTGTAAATGTTATAAGTTCGACGACGTGTGGTTCTTGAGCCTCATGCTCCATTGAGATTGGCTTTGCTTTTTCATCGAGGTGGAGGCATCGCCTCTCGGGTTGACACCTTGCACTTTGCTTGTTCGTTTCTTTTGAGAGTTTCCTCTTTTATGTTCACCATTTGTGTCCTCTGACTCTCCTCTATCGCGCGGTGGAAACGGAACACCTGCAGGCAGTGAGGCTCCGGGCCGTCCAAAAGCGGGGAACCTCACTGCAGTCCGAAAAGCGGTGATCGAACCCTTCGTGGGATTGAAATCGGTTCCTGGAAGTTTTCTCAGTTTTGCTCCTAGTAGCGATGCCAGGAGCCCCTAGTAGCTTCTTGTTACCAGTAGTAAGGCCAGCAGCTCCTAGTAGCGTCCTTGCTCCTAGTAGCATGGTTTTCTCAGTATCTATACAAAGGTGTTATAAGGCGAACATTTGCCTTCAAATCCGGTCGGCACCTTGTGAGAGTTGAAGTGCGGATTCACCTGGGTCAACTCATGGGCATTGTCCCCGTTGTAGATCTTGCCTCACAAACTCCAACATGTTATGTAGCGGCCTTGATGGCCAGCAGCGCCAGCAGTATCTTTCATAGGCACCAACAGCTAAAGTGAACCGACTTCTTAAGATTGCATGTCCATCAAACATCTCGACAAATTTCCAGTCGCCGTGTCTTGACTTTCTGGCATTGATTCCCTTGGCCTCTCAGCTGCTTTAGCACGTTCTTCCGCTGTGCTCCAACCTGATAATTCACCGCGGATGGTACTCAAGTGGTTCGACCAGAACAGTTTGGCTGCAAAAGTCTGGTCTCTTGACTCTTGAGGTTGAGCCTTATTGACGTCACTAATTCGATTGATGGAGGTGCGGTAGTTGCTCTAAAGTCACTTCAAAGCCCTGGAAGGCCCAGTTTGTTCGCTCGAACGTGACAAAGGACTGGATAAGCCCAGGACCTGGTCGTAGCCCCAAGCGTATCGGTCCAAAAAGCCGTTCTCCAGAGCTTCCACCACTTGGCCTCAAACGAAAAATATCCGAGGGTCTATAGACGAAAGAGCACGTTTTAGGAGAAAGAGATGCAACAAAGAAGCAGGAACATATCCTCCAACACACTTGTTTGTACGTGTGTCTCTCTGCGCATCTGGGCAGTCCAAGCTCCACCCTCCCGAGCTCTTAGTTGTTGGACTTACAACTATGCAAAGAAAATGATCATGACACACACACACAGAAAATCAACTTTCAAAATCCATCGATGGCTGAGCCACATAGATGCAATGACATTAGGGGAGAAGCAAAGACTTTAATCCTGGCGTATCTCCATATTTGCTAAGTCACTTCGTTCAGGAGTGGTGAGGCGGTTGTCCAGGTCCTACCAGGTGGTTCAAGCGTCTGGGGGGGTCCGTATGCAATGGTGCCAAAGGCTCTTCACATTCTCAATCGGATAATAGTGTAGAAGAACAACTCACTAATCGTTGCATCTCACTGCATCGTTCAAAAAAATTTGTGATGCATCATGTCATGTACTCTGTGCAATTACATCATCCAATACATGGCATCAAATCTTTTTGTATTACGCATCCATCATCTCAGCAGCCACTTGCGAAGAAAAACCTTGAAACCTTGATCACCATTTTTGTGCTCGCCCGGACTCCTTGGCGAACGTCTTCGCCACAAAGTAATCGGTAGGGCCAACAACTCCATCGCCGTCAACGTCCTTAGCAAAATCAAAACTTTGCGAGGCGTGAAACTGAAATGGAGCAAGAAGAGCGACAACGGTGAGCACGATGAGGATCATTAGTGTTCAGTGCACACAAGATTCACAACATCCGAGATCCGAAGTGACGCCTCAAAAGCATTCTGCTCCTGTAACCCCACACAACCAACAGGAGCTCCCTTTTTGGGAGAATGCAAAAGTGCAGTTAAGTGAGAAATAAAAGCCTAATCCACGTCTCCAATCAACCTTCAAACAAGTAGAAGCTTGCTTAAATGGCTATGTAGTGACGAGGAAAGCACAGTGTGTTGCGATTGCGTAGATTCACAGGGGACACAATTCTTGCAATTTCACGGTGACCCACATCTGTGACCATGCATCCATCGATAGATCTGGTATTCGCTCTGCACGTCGTGCAGCTTTGAGCTGTGTCAAGGTCTGGTGTTCAGGGACCTGCACAACTCGGAATAAAAGGCAATGCTCTACGTACTAAGGGGAAAGTCGTAGGGACTGCATGCTTGGTGGTACAAGTCAAAACCGGATCGAAATGTTAACCATGCTTCAAAAATTGGTTTCTTTCAGCTTCGATTGAGGTGTGTCAATTGTGGATTCCAGTTCAATGTCAGAAGAAAACCAAAGCAACCTCTTGGCAACATTGATGAGGAGCTTTAGTCGCTGCGTCCTTGATGGTATTCTATGCAGCCTTTCTTTCAGCTCCCAATCATTCCCAGTGGCAAAGAGAATGTCAGGCATGTTGCAAGAAAGAAAGTTGTGGGACCCCTTCACAGCCTTCACAGTTGCCTTTAGTTGGGCACTTACTTGTTTAATGGAATGCATCATGGAACCGGGGGAAAAACAAGAACGGTTCTCCTCCTCTTGGCATGCCTTCAGCCAGTCTGGGTGCGGACGCACGCTGACAAGTCCGGACTTGTCCTGCGCAACACTGAGCAGCGACTTTGCACATTACACATAAGTTCACGTTTTGGTGCCTGATGCGGATGAATCACCCGTACGGTATCAGTGAGCGAATGGAAAATGTCGTATATACAATAATTATATATAATTGTATATTTTGACAATAATTTATATACATTTTACATAGTACAAGTGGACGCCCTAAGGCACATCATGCTCACGAAAGGCACATCACAGCATGGCCACGCAATTTTCAGAAAGGCACACACGCACGATGGATATGAATATAGTAAAACTAAAACATGTGGCCGGGATAGCCTCCATGGCCACGCAACATTGACACACCTTTTTTGCTAGGTGATACGCCTTAGGGACCCATATGAGAGTAGACACTTGGTTGAGTTCGCTCGCTCCCTCCATGCGATCTACAACAGGCAAAGCGACTCGCCTTGAATGGGATCCGATAGTGATGCTCTCCACGCGCGCGATAATTGGGCACATGACCTCCAAGCTTCCGCACCTCAGTCACAAGCAACGTCGTGAAGATATGGTAGTCACATGTAGTTTCCCGGATAGCGATAGCATGCAGCAGCTATAGGGGTTCTTACTTCTCAGTGACTGGGTGCCTATAATTCCGTTTTGGTTTGCCACTGCTGTGTGCGGCTGCTGTGCAGGTGCCGCTGCTGCCTTGTCTCCCCACTTGTCTTCTTACATGTCTCCCCAATGCCGGAGTAATTTTGATCATGAGACTACGAGTGTTTTGCGACTGTTTCCGAGTGCCACCAAGCTAGTCGCATCCTGCCTGCGAGAAACAGGGATCAGCAGAAGCACTTTCTGAATTGAAACGATCGAGACATGTCGCCCCTACACAGACGATCTTCGGTGGCTGTGAACTATATACAGTACATACCTATAGTGTTTATATAGTCACTGCGACTCAGCGGATGGCCAGTTCTGTGTCTTCTTTCACCAAGATGCAGCTTCCGCTGCTTTCTCGCTCTTCTCTACTTTCACAGGGCTCGTCATGGCCACCGAGGCAAGCAATAGGAGTTGATGTGTAGGTAGACCTTCAGCTGCAGCTGTCTTTTGTTTTCAACTTGTTCCCGAGGCATGAAAAAGCAGTTTCTACAAAGATGTGTTTCTTTGAATTCTTCTTTGTAAAAATGTGCCCATCTTGTTCAAGCCGCATCGGAGCATTATTCAACGTCGCGGGCGAGGAATATTGGTGGCCATGTTCTTAGCCCAATAGGCTGACATGACATGTATGACCTTACGTCTTTCATGGCGAGAGGCGGCTGAGCCAAAGGGCACATTGCGAGAATCATGTCTTTCAACCATGCAATGTGGGCTAGCAAGACCTTTCCAATGGCTCAAGGATCCCTGACAATTCAATGGTGCTTGTCAAGATGTTTGAACTGATTACGTTCAGGTGACGACCACCCTGGCAATTGTGCGATTTTGACACCGGTCAGAGCATCAGTGAAAGACATTCACTATCATTTACTGTTGGTCATGTGCAATCAATGACTTGGCGCAAGATCACTTCCACGGCTCGTCAGCGTAGCTGAGCGTACAGTAGCACTAGAAGCACATGCACCTTCAAAGGCTGCAAACGAGAGTTCCTCCCTGCCATCAACAGGGTAGACACATGTCCTCTGCAATACCTTGCCTCGAACCTCGCAACCCCAGACTGTCATGCCGTAGCAGATTTGTTGTCCTTTAGCATGCTCCTACTTAATTAAGTAGGTGCATACTCATTAAAGCAAGGGGAAAGACTAGTTCCCTATTAGGCTAAGTTGGTTTCTAGCAACTGGATGCAGGATTGAGGGCGGGGGGAGCTTCCTTGAAGAAGCGCTCGCACTAATGATTTGGTTCCTAGATTTGTAGGGAAACTTAAGTATCTTAAATCTGACACTGCCATTGTTTCGAAATGCTCCTCGCCGCCTCGCCTGTTGGATTTCTTTTTGTTCCTCTTGCTTTTGGGCTTCGGAGAGCTGGCGCGCAAAGAGCGGCTGAAAAGACATAGAGTCTAGAGAGTTTCCTAGGAGAGGATAAGAACACCGCCTAAAGCAAAGTTGTTGGAGATGACAAGTTGTAAGTGTAAATTGATAGTACAAAAAGATACAAAAAGATCAGATTACTGTCTCTACTTCGAGTGATCCCCGCCATGACATTTATATAAATCATTTGTTTTCATGCCATGGTGACAGCATGTTGCCATGGTCGTGAGCTCTGTGGTTATCGACGGTGTTTGTGGGTCCTCGCGTTGTGTGCTGTGATTGTGTGTGCTGTGATTGTGTGCGCGCTGTGATGGGGAGAAAGTAGAATAAGAAACCTTATTTAGAGTCTACCTGCTAGCCACATTTCTTAATTGAAAGGTTATAGCTAAGAAATAATCTAGAGTCTACTCAAAAAAAACGTTTTTCTTAACAGAATCATCAGCCGTATATATACCTGAGAAAGGAGGGGACGAAAGCCAGCCTCTGGGTTAGGGGATGCCCTCAGGGCAAGCCTGGGCAAAGACTTGGCGTGCAAGATGCGTTGTGGAGGGGAAAAGGAGGCACCCCTGTAGTCCGGGGAAGGTTTAGTATGGTGTGTTGGTCTATGTTTTAGGTGAGTTGACGGCTGGCTTTCGTGATTAGATGTCCCCTTGTTTTCATTTAAGCTTTGAAAGTAGTTGCTCCAAAGTGCTGGGGTTTCTAGCAACAGCTGGCCACTTCAAATGGCCACAAACTGCCAACCTCTGTGGTATGGATGCAACGTGCAGTCTCACACGTACAAAATAGTTCAATAACTGTACAAGACTGCACATGTGACTGCTACAGCAAGGAGATTGCACAAACTCAAGAGCTGATTGCTTAGTTTGGTTTGTCATCACCGGGCGTGTGGTTATGCTCTCACCAAAACGGCAATTCTAGCAATTCATCGCTTACCTGCTGCAATCTGTTCTCTCGCATGCCCTTGCACCCCATATGGAGTGCCCCTTTGAGTCCAGCAACTAGACCTTACCATGGAAAAAGGGCACCCCTAAGTAACTCCAACCCTTCCGCCTCGAACGCTTGCCTGCTGCAATCCGTTCTCTCTCCTGCCCTCAACAATTTCTGAAGCAAGCCAGAACCTTCCTGCCTCGTCCACGTCAACTCCCACCGCATAGGGAATGCCCTCTTCAGTGTGGCAACTACGCTAAGCTCGCCCGCAACTGCAACCTGTTCTCTTTCCTGCTCTCAAGTATAGGGTCAATTGTAACAACTTTTCCCGTCCCCTTGTTTTCCCTTTCCTCTCATCGACGTGAACTCTTTCCACCGCAAAGTGGGGTCCCCCTTTCAGTCCGGCAACGCAACCCGCTCCAAGCTGATTCAAAACCTTCCGCCTCCAACGCTTGACCGCTGCAATCTCTTCTCTCTCCTGCCTTCAACAACCCCCCAATCCACGTGAACTCCCACCGCACGGGGGGTGCCCTCTTCAGTCCGGCTTCTGTCGCAGGCCCTCAACAGACGGCATCGTGCACATATGGGGTGTCCTTTTCAGTCCAGCAGCTAGACCTTGCCACGCAATAAAAAGGGCACCCCTAAGCAACTCAAAGCCGCCTCCAACGCTTGCCCGCTGCAATCTCTTCTCTCTCCTGCCCTAACCTGCCCTCAACAACACCCCAACGTGAACTCCCGCCGCATAGGGAGTGCCCTCTTCAGTCCGACAGCAACGCTAAGCTTAGCCGCAACTACAGTCTCCTCTGTTCTCTTTCCATGGCCTGAGCCCCTCGTGATGCTGATGATGCACTCTTCTCCGTCAATTACATCACCGGCATCACAATACCCCTCAAACCACTCATTTTTCACTACCAAGTGGCCCGCCTCTTTTTGTCAGCCACCACGCAACCATCCCCCCCCACACCCCCTTTGCTCACTTCGTTCGCTCCAACAACCTCAAGCCCAGCCTACCGGCTGGCTTTCGTGATACATTATATATAACAAGCTACGCTGCATTTGGCTGATCAAAACCTGTGTCTGTAGCTGTTTAATGCTGTTTATATATCCATGTTTATACAACCTTCACAGGTGTATGGAGACGCCCGGAGAACAAGCCACCTTGAGATCTATCTTCACTTAGCTTTGTACTGTACGCAGCAGCTTCACTCACATGTCAGTCTGGCCTGTTGGCAGTCGAAAATGTTGTGGACGTACCTGTGCGATCGTCACGTCCCTTGTTTTCGCTATGAGCTGTGCTGCGCACCAAGCTTGATGCATGGTACATGTGCTCAATGATGCTCAATGTTCCAAACTACAGAAACAACCCAAATCACCAGATTCCCTGCAACAATTGTTGCCCATCTTGTGCCTGAATCTAGTGGATAAATAATGCTAGATACTTGTGTTCCAGGCCCAAAGTCAAAGACAGAAACATTGCCTCACCCCAGGCTCCCCCAACTTTTGGTGACCCTCGTCGTGGCACCATCTTGAGAAGAAGCTCTGGGAACTGGCACCTGTTGATGCAATCACGGACGTTTGGCTGCGGACTACCATGGCGTTACTGGTGTAGATTCATCTTAGGTCTAAGACACCCGCATACTTGATCTCTTACGACACCTATCTATTGGCCACTGGTGTCGGATTGTTGGGTTCCACCAAAAGGTACAGTCCATAGTCCATCAACCCTTCTTGTTATTGGTTCGTGCGATTCGTGCAGGATAGAACTGCTCCGAACAAAGAGAACTCGTGAGTTCGTGCTGATCTAAGCTAACCTTAATGCCAGCCCCTTTACTCTGAAAGTCATTATTTATATAATTATATATATATATATCGGTGTTGGAATGTTTTGGACTACGGTAGTGGTCTTAGTTTGTGGTTCTTGGAAACCAAGAACCAGACAAGTACGTCTCAAACATCCATCCAAAGATGGCCGTGAAGTCATCCTGAAACAGTAATGGCTGAGCAAGTAAAGAGACATGAAAAATATGCAGCTGTGCGTGTTGTTGTTGTTTTTTTAGTGTTGGGCCCCTTTAAAGGGAACCTGATTCAAGGGACCTGAACATTTTCTGGTTTCATCTCTCTTTACTTTTGGCTCAGCCATTACTTACACGTACGCGACAGAAGACTCCTCCCTTCTGAAGCCTTGGCTGCCACAGCAGCAAGTCGCTCCTCCGCAGCCTCCAAAAGACTTCGCCATGAGCTCTAGACGGTTGGCAATGAGAGAAAGAATAACGACTTTTATCTTGAATCTTGACTCTAAAATGCTCATGCTGAACGTAAAAACACTAACACAAAAACATCACACAAAAGAAACCCTCGTCAGTTTGCCGGTCTTACTACCCGTGAACTGTCTGACCGTGTCCGTTAGTTGCACCTTTCACAATTATGCCAATCGATTTCTCAAGAGGCTTGAGTGAGCCCAACGGACCAACGTTCCAGGGGACCAGGGGCTCCCACTTGCTGTATTGAAAGGACGGTTTGCTGTAAAACTGACCTCCCACATATAACTGTTCAATCTGTACTTCCCACTCCAAGCCTGCGGTACAACAGGCACGGGTGTGCCTGACATGGTTTCTGCAGTGACAGAATTGATCAGAATTGCCCTTTCGCTGTCACTCCAATTCGCACACTCAGACTCTTCCTGCACAAATGTTGGCTCTTGTGTCTGTGTGTGTGCGCGTGTCATCTGTAGCTCGCACGAGCACACAGAATTAGCTCTCATCCCAACAATCGTCAGGCTTTATCAGAGCGTACCCAAAGTGTGTGAATGATCATAAATTCTTCTTGCTGTCATCTCTAAAGGAGACAAGAAGCACAAAGCCATTCTCCCACGAAGTAGCTATCCATCTGATTCTGCAATGAAAAGCCAATGGCATGCCGACACAGAGAGTCTAACCCATACGATGCTTTCCACGCCTACGGAATGACCTGTTGCCGGGCGCTGGAACTTTGACCAGCAAGCAGAGTCAAAAGCTGGTCTTCAAGGGCAAGGCCATCATGGGCTATGTCAGCAGCAAACAGCTGGTGCGGGAAGGAACAACTCAAAATTACATCTGGCTCAACCGAGTGGTGTCCCTGCAAGCAAGGGATAACAGATTGTCCGTCACAGCTAACGGTTCTTACCGTTCTGGCCCTTACAGTACAATGTGCTCTTACACTAGACTCACTGGACTGTATAGAACGCAATGGACAGCTACCGCGGTCTGCCTGAAAGAAAAGCAGCCGGGACAGGGCTCAAAGGTGTGCCTTGCAAGTGCTTGGTCATGAGGGATTCCATGCG